GAATCAAAGTAAAAGATTGAATTCACATAGAAAATTGGATACGCAGGTAAAATTGAATTCACACATAACACACATAAAACTGGGGAGATCAAATTCACACATTACACACATAAAAGTGGGGAGATTGATGTTAATCTTGTAACAGTTGGTGCCAGACTGTCTCTGATCTTGGGGGGGGGGGGAGAGTACTTTCCTCCCTTCCAAGAATCCACAGCGCACCTGATTGGCTGAAAAGCCACAGGTGACTTATTCTAGTATGCAATAAATGTGGACTGCCATCTAACAGCAGTCCAATTTGAATATTCTCAAAAGTTCTAAAACATTCTGGATCACTTGAGAGAATTAAAAGTGCAGGACATCATGGGCAGTCTAATTATTCCATCACAACCTGTATAAGAAAATCTTTGGGTGGATGTGCCAGCATAAGATTCTCTCCACATCTTATTGTGAGGGGTTCTCAATGACAAAATTCTCTCTACAATAATGGATTGAATTTCATTGTACCCCTGCTTGGAAGATTCTATATGCTGATAATTGATTGATTGATGATTTGTTTAACCTTTTTGAAACAAAGTTATTGGGATATTTTTGCAAAATCTTGTGTCACTGAGAAGTAAGAACTGGGGATTTTAAAAATACAACTTTGTACAAAGGCTTAAGTCAGGAAAAAGTCCAACTTCTTTTCTAATCCAGCAGAAATACATTGAAAAAAATAATAAATAAATAAAATCCCTCACTGTAGGAAATTTTTTTGTGTATTCCTGGCATAGGATTAGCATGGAAGATTCCTGAAAACAAAAGAGAATTGGTCTCAAGGATTTTTCCCAACTTGGGCCTTCTCAACCTGGGAGCATTTCAGGAACCTTGGGTCAAATAACTGAAATGCTCCACCTCCTGAAAATATCCCAACTTTGCCTCACATGAAAAATAAAAGAAATCCCTCATTGGTGGATTTTTTCCTGCATTCCTGGCATAGGATTAGCATGAAGATTCCCAAAAAACAAAAGAAAATTGATCTCCAGGATTTTTACCAACTTGGGCCTTCTCAACCTTGGAGCATTTCAGAAACCTTGGGTCAAACTGAAATTGCTCCAACTCCTGTAAATATCCCAACTTTGCCTCACATGAAAAATAAAAGAAATCCCTCACTGGGGGATTTTTTCCTGCATTCCTGGCATAGGATTAGTATGGAAGATTCCCAAAAACAAAAGAAAATTGGTCTCCAGGATTTTTACCAACTTTGGCCTTCTTAACCTATACTGGGAGCATTTCAGGAACCTTGGGTCAAATAACTGAAATGCTCCACCTCCTGAAAAATATCCCAACTTTGCCTCGCAATGGGAAATTAACCCTCTGCTGTCCAAGGGTTAATTTGTGTGTTTTCCGTATAAACTCATATATGTATTCTTATACATTGCCTCAATATATTCATCATCAGATTGCTCAAAATACTTCATGTGCATGCCTGGACGCGTGCGGGTGGAGCAGGAATGTGCCCCGGGCCTCATGTTCGACTCGGCTTCTCAATTGTGCAAAGACGAAAAGTTTGCACTGTGCGTGCAGCCCGAAGATTTGCCGGGTCCAGCAGTGGTGAATTGTTCGGTCCTCGGGCCCGGGTACCACTTCCAGGGCCCGTCTTCGGGTTGCAGGGTTTGGACGCTGTGTCCCCCGGGTGCTGTGGACGAGGACGACGTGATGATGGACCACCATCAGCAGGCGAAAACCACTTCATCAGGTTATTATTTGCTTCAATATTATATTTCGATAAGCATGTCTTTGATGAATAGAATAAAAAATTAAAATTTTCTTCTTTGTGGTTTTTCAACGTATATTCCCGAAATTACGGCATTTTTCATTAATTATTATTATATGGTTTGTTATTTTTTTCATTTTGGCTTTTGAACAGTATAATTTCAATGATTCTTCCAGGATTTTGGATAATAATAATTAATTATAAATATTAATTAATATATAATTAATTTTGACATTAATTTTTGTATAATAGTAATTATTATTATACAAAATCCTGGATGCTATTATTATTATTTAGTAATATATGATTAATTTTATTATTAATGTTTGTATAATATAATATATAATTAATTTTATTATTAATTTTTGTATAATACTGTATAATAATAATTATTATTATTATATTATACAAAAATTAATATTGAAATTAATTATATATTGATTAATATTAATACTGTATAATTAATATAATATATTATTATCCAAAATCCTGGATATTATTATTATTATCCAAAATCCTGGATATTATTATTATTATCAATTAGTATATAATTAATTTTAATATTAATTTTTGTATGATATAATACTAATTATCATTATTACAGATATTTATAGCTAATTTTTATAGTTATTTTGTGTCTCTAATTGATTTCTGAAAATTGCACAATTTTGGCGGTGCCCCCTTCATTTTTTTCTCATTTTTTGAAAAATTGCATTATACTTTCGGAAAAATTGAAAGTCAGGTTTGGGGATCAATATTCTTTTCATTAATTTTTCGGGTCTGTTATTGGAGACATTTAGAATCCTTGAAATTTGAGAAACTAAAATGTTTTCGGATAATTTATATCTTTATTTCTTTTAGAAATTGAAAGCATTACAGTATTCACGTTTGCGGTTAATTTTTATGTTATATTTTCTTATAGTTTTTTTGCACATTTAGGGAGTAAATGCAAAAAATTAAAGAAATCCGGGTTTACGTGAATAATGCTTATTTTTCTCCTTCCATTTTTTTTTAAATCGCATAAATTGTAAAAATGCAGGTTTGTGAAACATTATTTTGACTTTTTATTCTTCTTCTTGTTAATCTAAATTGCGTGTAATTGTAGAAAATTGCGTTGATTAAGTTTTTCGGATATTTGTTCATTTCAGTTTTTTCTGGAGAATAACCTCGTATATCTTGGGAATTTTTTTTTTACAATTTCAGGTATTTGCATCCATTCTTTCAGCGTTTAGAAAATTGCGTAAAGAATGTCTAGAAATTTTCATTCATTCATATTTGGCGAAAATTATTCCTGACCTTCTTTTTTCACATGTTTCATAAAAGTCTTTTCTCTCAGCTGAAGTTTTATTAAATTATTTCTGATTACCGTATATAGTGCAACATTCTATGGCTTCAGAAGTGGAAGTACATTCTCTCAGTTTTTGGAGCTGCGTCTGATTGTGATTATGATTTTAATTTATTTATTCATCTTCAGGAAGAGGACAACCACCGAGCATGTCCCTGGCGAACGTGGTGCCGCCGTACCTCCTCAGGCCGTTCTCCTCCCCGGCGTCCGCAGCTGCAGCGACCTCTACTTTCCGCCAGTTGTCGGCCACGTTGGCCAGGTTCCAGGGCCTGCGATCCAGCAGGGCCATGCGAAGGAACATCTTGCTGCACACGACTCCTCGCATGGGCGAAGGGATGTCTTGGCGGTGTCCGGAAGGCACGAGGATAGACCGGATGCGACTGGTGTGCAGGGCAGAAGACAAGGTGTCGTGCCCAAGACCGGCTGAAGAGAGGACTGCAGTGTCACCTGGTGGAGAGAAAAGTGTAGTGTCACCGGGTGCTGAGGGCTTCCACTGAAGCAGATGTCGCCCCTCTGCGACTTTCCGTTCTCCTTGTGTATTATTGCCAAAAAAATCTTTGCGGGTTGTGAGCTATTCTCTTCTTTCAACTACCGGCAGCTACCATGAATTGAAGTGAGAATCAGAATCGTGGAAATGAGACGGATTTATAGGTTTAATGGATATGTATCTTTATATTGTATCTTCATATGATAGGTGAGGAGCGCATTTTGGAATTTACATGGTGGTCCGGAAAGTTCTGGACTGCTTTTCAAAAACTCCAAGCATAGAATTTATTGCTTGAACAAAATCTGCAACTGCAAAAACTACAGAAGTTCATCAAATATAGGGGAAAATGTTGCATTGAAGATGAAGAAGAGGGGGGGGGGGTTAGGTTGATGCCAGAATAAAACCTGTGGAAATTATCATCTGACCCCTGTAAAATTAAGCCAATCAATTCAGAAGGACAGTTTACAAATTTATTCTTCTGGTTGAGCCATAGTTTGGCTTGACTGTAGTTGAGCAGAATTTGTTGAAGATGGAGTTCCTCAAAGTTTGGTAGAATATAGTAACAGGAACTCTGTGTCAATCTGTTTTCTTTCGGCGAAAGAAATTCGGAAAATGATACAAAATCCAAAGAAAAGGTGGAATAATGTTTTCTGCTGTTTGGCAAGTTTTTTCTTCCATTTGCTCACAAAAGGGGTTCTTAAATCTTCCTTCCTTCCGTAATGCTAGTGGGCATTTCTGTGCTAGAAATTCACGTTGCAATTATTTCAGTAGATGCAACTCAATATTCATATATTTTTGTCATTATTTTCGGGAGCACAGAAGTATGTACTATGTACAAATGCTTGTCAAAGTTGCTCACAATGCGGTAAAGCAAGAGTAGATCAAAGTGATCAAATCATCGACACGCGGTGAAAAATCCCAGTGAGGGACGCTGTTGATACAATGCAAATTATTTTGTTTTGGCATGTATGCGGAAAAGAAAAAAATAACACGTTTCTTACACCAGTTTTCTTTTTCGTTTGTGTTTCATTTCCACGCGGTCGCAGGCAGTCTTCAGTTCTTCAACTGAAACGCGAACTGGACAAACTTCCGCATTCCAACAACACAATTGCACAAAATTGAAACCATTTGCATATTTTTGTCGTATGCTCAACAAATATGATCACATATCGAATTGTTCCGGGAATACTAGGCAAGATACAGTGAAGTATAAATGTAACCCAAGCTCCCCAATCCCAAAATGTTGTCGACTTTAAAAACTCAAAAAGGTTTCGTCCTTGAAGGCTGAAATAAGATATCCAATATTTTTTGAGTCTCTCAACATACAATAATCTCTCAAGAGCCTCTGAAAAAAAAAAAAAAAAAAAAAAAAAAAAAAAAAAAAACAAAAAAA